GGGGACAAAAGGGAACAAAAGGGACACCAAACAGGTATACTAGATCGAACTATACTAATAACTAACAAAACAGATCTCACCACGTCCCTTAGAACAGCAGGATTGGCAGTCACAGCCAGCACTCTCCAAACCCCCACGTGGTAGGACAGCGGACTCTGCAGGCCTCAGCCTTAGATAAGCGAGACCAACACAGGGACCCACTGTTCCTAGACCTCGCCGGAAGAGAAGAGAGCGAGGTCTCTAATCTCCGACTTATTTATACTCTGGTTTACGTAAAAATTGTGTGGAATACTGGGTACTTGGCTCCTTCCTTGGTTACAAACTGGTCACCAAGGAAGGCCTAGACTAAAACCATCACAGTGTCTCTACATCTAAACTAAAAAGGCAATACAATGAAGATCTTTGTACCAACACCCCAAAGTTGTCTTGCTGCTGTTGCCAAAACTACCTGCATGTGTAAAGGGCAAAATACTGATGTTTCTCATGGCCACACTGCAAGTGGGGCACAGAGAATGGTGGCCTGCCAGGACACTGAGAGGAAAGCTGCTTCAAATTTGTCCTCACTGCACTAGCATCTGTGTATATGAACCCAAGTTCAGAAGAAGGCAAGTTCTGACCCAAACAAGAACCCCTTCAACACACCAGATGGCTATGGTAGATGCAGCTCTGGTTCTCCTATACTCCTCCTCTGCACTTTGATGAGAATAGCTCCATGTCAACATAGAAATACAGAAGTATACATATAAAGATACAACAGAGACCGGGTCCCTTTTCATTGCTCTTCAGATGTTTCAGTGTAGCTACATTCAAGGAAAGAAAGACCCTTCAACCATTAAAGGGTGAATCCTGGTATGGTCTTAGCTCCATATCTGATTCTTTTCCTTATTCCTACTGTATCAGAACAGTTCATGATCTCTGTATGTGTGTTTGTACCCTACACGCTGCTCTGAGATAGGGAATTATTTGCATATTTTCACAGAATAATAGAATGGTTTCGGTTGGAAGTCACCTTAAAGATCATGGACAGTTTCCATTAGACCACATTGCTGAAAGCCCCATCTAACCTGACCTGGAACACTTTCAGGGCATTTTGCTTGTAGACAGGAGGGAGAGAGGCACAGAGATACTTCTCTCTTCGTTCGAGATCCATGGCAGAGTGGATGAGTGAAAATCTTTGCAGTCACAAGGCCCAGAGTACCAATACCTTTCAGACTTCTGGCAAATACAAACAGACTTGATTAGTACTATGGTATGGTGAGAAATTCATAAATGAAAATATGCTTGATAGACTAAGGGAATTATCTTCCACTTCCCTGTTTGATGAATTTTCTTCATTTTCCCCAGAAAGCATAAAGCTTAAAGCTTTCAAAATCTTACTATAAGCTTTACAGAAGATTATTACTTGCTTAGTTGTTTCAAGGATTTTCTTATGCATTTTGAACATCTATTATATGCTATTTTGCAAATGAAGCAGTGTAGGGGATAGGAGACAGGACCTACACCTGCGTGTCTGTGATGGCCATCTACCTTCTGTCAATACTGATTACAGTCATGTGTGGTTGCTCATTGAAAATGAATTGGAACTCCAGCTCTGCTTGTTAACTGACAGCAACTGCATCAGAAACTAGCCTGACAACTGACATCGAAGTTGTGATGCCTCAATGAAATGGGTGAAAGAAGAAGTACCAGACTCCATTCTTATCCTTCTGGGACAGGGTTGTACCACCAGATAATTTGTGGAATTACATACTACCCATAGTCAATGACCAAATAAGCAACTTCACTTTACAGGATTGTCAATCTATCACCTTTCAGGAGTGCCAAGTTCACTTAAAAAAATTACCTTTAGCAGAAAACGATGTTATTGCTTTTACTGAGGTCACTGAAAGGGTAAGATCCTTCTCAGTGATGCTAATGTGAAGGTACAGGGGTGACATGAGTTAATTGCTCAGTTACCACTCTATTATTGATTTATACTCTCCTGACATTTACAGAGAAATAAAATAGAGTTTACGTTTTACACAGTCTCACAAAATACAAGCCACATAAACTACTGCAGAGAGCTGGAATTCAAATTGTTAAAACTGTTACATGTAAAGGAATGAAACTGAGAAAATATGTAATTTCTCTCTTTTTCCTTCTGTAAAGCATTAAAAATACAATTAGGGATTTTGAATTAAAGCAGGGAAAGGGAATTAATCTACTGAAAGAGTTAACTCTTCCTATGTGCATATACAAAT